TATTATGTATATTTATATTATTGTATATGTATTATATTTTATATATATGTATATTTTTTATATATTATATATATATATATGTATATATATATATGTATATTTTATATATATATTGTTTATGTATATATATTATATATTTTATATTTTTATTATATATATTTATATATATATATATATTTATTAATATATATTTATATTTTATTATTATTATTTAATTTTGTTTATATATATTTTATATATTTTTTTTTATATATATATATATATTTACCACACAATATATATATATATTATATATATATATATATATTATATATATTTAAAATATATTATTAATTTATATATTATATATATATTATATATATATATATAATATAATATATTATATAATTTTTTAATTTTTATATATATACATTAAATATATATATATAAAAATTTTAATATATATATATATATAAATATAATATATATATATATAAATATAATATAATATATATATTTATATAATAATTTTATATATATATAATATATAATATAAAAAAATTTTTAATATATATAAAAATACATATAATAATATAATTATATATATATTAATATATTATATATTATATATATATATACATTATAATAAAATATTATATATATATATTATATAATATATATTCTATAATATATATATTATAATATTCATATATATATATACAATATAAAAAATTTAAAATATATATATATAAAATATACTATAATATAAAATATCATATATATAAAACATATATTATATATATATATATATATTACATATATATATTTATATATATATATAAAATATATTATATATATATATATTATATATACATTATATATATATATATAATATACTTTATATTAAAATATACAAAATATATATATACATATACATTATTTACATTTAAATATATATACATATACACTTATACATATATATATATATATTTTTATATATATATTATATTATATATATTTATATATTATATATTTTATATATTTTTTATATATATATATATTTTTATATATATATATTTATATATATATTATATATTATTTTTCAACAAGTCGGCCGTCTCCCACCGAGGCATTATAAATATCACGATTAAACCAGTGTAAGGTCTCGGTCAGATGACAAAAAGCTGCAGCAGCGCGTCAAGAAACACTTGTGATGGTTCCAGACAAACCTCACCTGACCTAACTTGTCCTCAGTGACTCACACAAGTTTATTGCATCGTATAAACATAATTTCGTCCTCTTGATTTATCTTCTTGCCTTTTTTTCCGCTCTGCAATTCTACAATTTTAAAATAATCTTCATGAGGACGTAAAGAACCGTGGGGTACAGAACCGTGGGGTACAGAACCGTGGGGTACAGAACCGTGGGGTACAGAACCGTGGAGTACAGAACCGTGGGGTACAGAACCGTGGGGTACAGAACCGTGGGGTACAGAACCGTGGAGTACAGAACCGTGGAGTACAGAACCGTGGGGTACAGAACCGTGGAGTACAGAACCGTGGGGTACAGAACCGTGGGGTACAGAACCGTGGGGTACAGAACCGTGGAGTACAGAACCGTGGGGTACAGAACCGTGGGATACAGAACCGTGGCGTACTGACCCGTGGGGCACTGAACCGTGGGGTACAGAACCGTGGGGTACAGAACAGTGAGGTACAAAACCGTGGGGTACAGAACAGTGAGGTACAGAACCGTGGGGTACAGAACAGTGAGGTACAGAAGTGATGTACAGAACCGTGGGGTACAGAACCGTTAGGTACAGAACCGTGGGGTACAGAAGAGTGAGGTATAGAACCGTGGGGTACTGACCCGTGGGGTACTGAACCGTGAGGTACTGAACCGTGGGGTACAGAACCGTGGGGTACAGAACAGTGAGGTACAGAACCGTTGGGTACTTACCCGTGGGGTACTGAACCGTGGGGTACTGAACCGTGGGGTACTGAACCGTGGGGTACAGAACCGTGGGGTACAGAACCGTGGGGTACAGAACCGTGGGGTACAGAACAGTGAGGTACAGAACCGTGGGGTACAAAACCGTGGTGTAGAGAACCATGGGGTAGAGAACAGTGGGGTACAGAAACATGGGGTACACAACCTTGGGGTACAGAACCATCTGAACCATTAACATGTAACATTCCCCTGACCAAATTCACATTACGTTCCGTCTCATTGGTAGTGTCTACATATGTGGACGAAAGGGAAAATATCCCCACTGTTTATGCCTAAAGAGATGCTGGGTTCTTAGCGAATCAAGGACCTCTATGGGGAAGTGTCTTCCCTGCCAGAGAAGAGGACTCTAAACCTCACCTGTACTGTAAGTGACTCAGCTTAGGAAGGAAGGGAAGAACAGTGGTGCAGGAGAGCACAAGTACACCAAATGGAAGAAGGACCAATCATTCTCAGCAAATTTCGCTGAAAATAAGAAATAGTCTTGGACAGAGAGAAACGAGATAACCCAGTGAGCAAATGATCTCGTCCCTTGAAACAGAAAATGTTGAGATGCTGGGGAAAGAAGGTGGATATATATATATATATATATAATATATATATATAATATATATATATATATATATATATAATATATATATATATAATTATATATTATATACTATATTAATATATATATATATATATATATATATATATATATAATTATATATTTATATATATATATATATATAATATATATATATATATATATATATATATATATATAAAAGGAATTCGCAAGAGCAGGCGAAATATACACAAACACTGATCACTGGCTGAAGGAGACTCGAACCTACGAACCTTGGAACAAGGTACGCAGTGCTATATCAATCTCACCACACTGGACAATACCTTGGCGTGCAGCTTGCGCTACACGTTGATCCAAGGCAGCCAGCTTTCAGGGAGAAGGCTTACAGCTTTTCATCTCATCCCGTTGTGTTTGTGTATATTTCGCCTGCTCTTGCGAATTCATTGCATTGTTAAAATCTCTAGTAAGGCTGATACATGCAGGGGATGAGATGAAAAGCTGTAAGCCTTCGCCCTGAAAGCTGGCTGCCTTGGATCAACGTGTAGCGCAAGCTGCAACGCCAGTGTGGGTGAATAGGTATAGCACTGCGTACCTGTCCAAGGTTTCGCAGGTTCGATCTCATCAGCCAGAGATCGTATTTGTGTGTGTGTATATATATAAATATATTATATATATATATATATATATATATATCTAGTATATATATATAAAACCCAAGGTGAGCCTAAAATGAAGAAACACTTTCACAATCACTATCAATGTCTTACAAGTATGCAGACATTTTACAGTTTAGATGTCCCCCCAAACTGTAATATCCCCACCTTCTTTTAGATTGCAGGCACTGGTAGAGGCTCGATCCTCTATTCGTTAATCGCCAAACAATACACTGTCAGCCAGACTTCAATCTTCCCTCGCCAAGTGATATCAGAGATGGAAATAGATTTTGAGCACCTGTGAAATGTAGATGATATGAAGGCGAAGCTTTCATGAACTTGACAGGAATAGCAGCTGTGAGAAGGAAGGAACCAGGGGTGAGTGTGAGGACAGTGAGTGAGCAGTGTGTAGGTTGTCAGGCAGGAACCAAAGGTGAGTGTGAGGGCAATGAGGCAGTGTGTAGGTTGACAGGCAGGAACCAGGGTCATGTGGAGATGCACTGCAGGCTGCCTTCACAACGAGAGAGCTGGACAGATACTTAAAGTCGTGCCGGATCAGCCCGGGCTGTGGCCTGCGGGCGCCAGCAAGTAACAGCCTAGATTGATCAGGCCCTGATCCATACGGGAGCCTAGACATGGACCGGGCCGCGGGTGCGTTTGATCCCCGGAATAAGCCTCCAGGTAACCTCCAGGTAAGGAACCAGGGTCAGTGTGAGGGCAGTGAGGCAGTGCAGTAGGTTGATAGGCAGGAACCCGGGGCGAGTGTGAGGACAGTGAGGCAAGAGTGTAGGACTGACAGTGCGAAAGGAACCAGGGGTCCAGTGTGAAGCAAGTGAGGGCAAAGTTGTAGGTTGACAAGCGAAGGAACCATGGGTCATGTGAGGGCGTGAGGCAGTGCGTAGTTGATAGGCAGGAACCAGGGGCGAGACTGTGAAGGGCATGTGAGCCATGTGTAAGGCGGACAGGCAGGAATCAGGGGTCAGTGTGAGGGCCAGGTTCGAGGCAGTGCTACGTTTTGATAGGACAGGAACCAGGGGCGATGGTGAGGGCAGGAGGCAGTGTGACAAGGTTGACCAGCAGGAACACAGGGTTCAGTGTGAGGCACGTGAGGCGTGTGTAGGTTGATAGGCAGGAACCAGGGCGAGTGTGAGGGCATGAGGCAGTGTGTAAGGTTGACAAGGCAGGAACCAAGGGCGAGTGGAGGACAGGAGGCAGTGTTTATGATGATAGGCACGGACAAGGGGCATGTGAGGTACAGTGAGGCACATTGTAGGTTGAATAAGGCAGGAACACAGGGGCGAGTGTGAGGCATGACAGTGTTAGGTTGACAGGCGGAACCAGGGGCGAGTGGAGGAGCAGTGAGGCAGTGTGTATATGATAGCCGGATCCAGGGCGAAGTGTGAGGACATTGAGCAGTGTGAGGTTGATAGGCGGAACACAGGGGCGAGCATGTGAGGACAGTGAGGCAGTGTGTACGCGGCGTTGATAGGCAGGAACCAGGGGCGAGTGTGAGGACAGTGAGGCAGTGCTGTAGGCTTGATAGGCCGAAACCAGGGCGAGTGGTGAGGACGAGTGAGGCCGTTGTAGTTGAAGCCAGGACCAGGGCGAGTGTGAGGACAGTGAGGCAGTGTGTAGGTTGATAGGCAGGAACCAGGGGCGAGTGTGAGGGCAGTGAGGCAGTGTGTAGGTTGATAGGCAGGAACCAGGGGCGAGTGTGAGGGCCGTGAGGCAGTGTGTAGGTTGACGCAGGTCAGGAACAAGGCGGCGAGTGTGAGGGCAGTGAGGCAGTGTGTAGGTTGACAGGCAGGAACCAGGGGTCAGTGTGAGGGCAGTGAGGCAGTGTGTAGGTTGACAGGCAGGAACCAGGGGTCAGTGTGAGGGCAGTGAGGCAGTGTGTAGGTTGACAGGCAGGAACCAAGGGCGAGTGTGAGGGCAGTGAGGCAGTGTGTAGGTTGACAGGCAGGAATCAGGGGTCAGTGTGTTGTTGAGTTACTTTGGTTATTTAGAAGACTACAGTAAGATAGTTTGAATAAGAGTGGATACATCCGGGTTGAATGGAAGGAGTTGGGAGGAATGGGTGGATGAAAGGAAGGAGGAGGAAAAGGATGGATGAAGAGAGTTAAGGAGGGAAGGGTTGGAAGAATAGGCTGAAGGAGGTTTAGGATGGTAGAGAACTCGGCATTCGAATGCCGTGTATGAGCGTGTATGATCGTGTTTATGAGTGAATGAAAGTAACAGTTTCCTTTGGGATTTATTTTACTGTTTGAATGTAAACCAGCTTCAGTTGGGACGATTAGTGTTTACACTTACATACTACAGATGGGAATGTAACTATTGAGTAGATCAAATACTCTTATAAAAAGGTTCCCTTAAGTCATACATTCACACACCTTCCTTGCTGAAGTAGTACATTCATACAGCTCTCTTGGGGAGAGGCAGGTGCTACACTCACCCAAGTTTCCTTCTTAGCGTCCGGGTCGACGAAGATGAGATGAGTGGCGGTCAGGTACAAGGTCCCCGTCGACTTTCTGTTGCTGAACCGGTCCAGCAGGCGCACATTCTCAACCTGAAACACAACACAACACCTTCAGTACCTCCGGCAAGCGCACATTCTCAACCTGAAGCACAACACCTTCAGTACCTCCAGCAAGCGCATATTCTCAACCTGAAACACAACACCTTCAGTACCTCCAGCAAGCGCATATTCTCAACCTGAAACACAACACCTTCAGTACCTCCAGCAGGCGCACATTCTCAACCTGAAACACAACACAACACCTTCAGTACCTCCGGCAGGCGCACATTCTCAACCTGAAACACAACACAATAAATGTTCAGTACCTCCGGCAGGCGCACATCTTCAACCTGAAACACAACACAACACCTTCAGTACCTCCGGCAGGCGCACATTCTCAACCTGAAACACAACACAATAAATGTTCAGTACCTCCGGCAGGCGCACATTCTCAACCTGAAACACAACACAATACATCTTCAGTACCTCCAGCAAGTGAACATTGTCACTACCAAAACTGAGGTATCATAGGCGTTAGTTGCGGCATCGATGCTTGATATTTTATCCAGTCCTCCTGTTTTCCCAAGAGTTCTAATATTTTCCCTAGAGTCTTCACATATTTTCCCTAGTCTTCACATATTTTTCCAAAAGTCTTCACATATTTTTCCTAGTCTTCACATATTTTCCCTAGAGTCTTCATATTTTTCCTAGAGTCTTCACATATTTTTCCTAGAGTCTTCACATATTTTTCATAGTCTTCACATATTTTTCCAAAAGTCTTCACATATTTTTCCTAGTCTTCACATATTTTCCCTAGAGTCTTCATATTTTTCCTAGAGTCTTCACATATTTTTCCTAGAGTCTTCACATATTTTTCCTAGAGTTTTCACATATTTTTCCTAGAGTCTTCACATATTTTTCCTAGTCTTCACATATTTTCCCAAGAGTTTTCAAATTTTCACAAGAGTTCCCATATTCTCGCAAGAGTTCTCATATTTTCCAAAGAATCCTTATGTTTTCCCAAGAGTCCCCGTGTTTTCCCAGGGCTGGTGATACTTTCCCAGGGATGCTCACACATCCCAGGAGGTCTTGTAACCTCCTAAATTACTCTATCCTCGCTCAGGTCACCTACCAAAATAATAATGTGATTATAAATCTCATTAAGGTTAGCTCCGAGGCACCTAACTGTCTTCTGGTGAGGCTGGGAAGGAAGGGGAGAGGAAGATGTAAGAGGCAGGGGTAATGAAGAGGCTAGGAGAGGAGGTGGTGAAGGAGAGAAGGATGGAGATGGTACAAGTGAATCAGATAAAGCGGATGGAAAGATGATTCAACAGTTCACAGAGGGAAAGTACAAGAGCAATAGAACAAGGGCAAGAATAACACGAGTGAATAAAACAATAGGAAAAAATAAGAGGGGTAAACGAAGCAAGAAAAACAAGAATGAGACAACAGAAACAGGCACAAACAGGAAAACAAATGAAAACATCACACAATGTTGTCAAGAATATATAGAAAACAGGAGGAAGAGAGTAGTGTCGAGTCCTACTACACTATAAAGTAGTTACATGGTGCTACACTACTCTGTATGATAGTTACATGGTGCTACACTACTCTGTATGATAGTTACATGCTGCTACACTACTCTGTATGATAGTTACATGGTGCTACACTACTCTGTATGATAGTTACATGGTGCTACACTACTCTGTATGATAGTTACATGCTGCTTCAATACTCTGTATGATAGTTACAGGGTGCTACACTACTCTGTATGATAGTTACATCGTGCTACACTACTCTGTATGATAGTTACATGCTGCTTCAATACTCTGTATGATAGTTACATGCTGCTACACTACTCTGTATGATAGTTACATGCTGCTTCACTACTCTGTATAATAGTTACATGGTGCTACACTACTCTGTATGATAGTTACATGCTGCTTCAATACTCTGTATGATAGTTACATGCTGCTTCACTACTCTGTATAATAGTTACATGGTGCTACACTACTCTGTATGATAGTTACATGCTGCTACACTACTCTGTATGATAGTTACATGGTGCTACACTACTCTGTATGATAGTTACATGGTGCTACACTACTCTGTATGATAGTTACATGGTGCTACACTACTCTGTATGATAGTTACATGGTGTTTCACTACTCTGTATGATAGTTACATGGTGCTACACTACTCTGTATGATAGTTACATGGTGCTACACTACTCTGTATGATAGTTACATGGTGTTTCACTACTCTGTATGATAGTTACATGCTCTATCCCAGGGAGGTGACAACCTTCCCTGCTCTTCCTCGTACTGCTGCACCCAGGAAGGTGTCAGCAATATATCGCTCACAGGTAAGTACCCTTCACACCTCCTAAGACGTCTCAAACTTTTCCTCTCTGCAAAGATGAAAGAAAACCCGGAGCTTTCAATGTTGTCTCGAGCGTCTTGCAAGACTTACTCTAATCTGCACCTGCTAGTGTACCTGTAACACCTGCACCTGCTAGTGTACCTGTAACACCTGCACCTGCTAGTGTACC